AATAGATAATTNTCGATGGCTGAGGCATCCACAAGAAGCCGTTGGAAACAGTTACAACACGGAAATGTGAGTCGCATAAAAGCTTCTGTTCTCCAGACTAATGAGTAGACGGTAGTTAGTTTGTTTTACTTGATGTTTTCGTTGTTTGTTATGGATAATTAGTTTTTTGGGATTTTCGTCCCGCAAGAAAACACGGGAATAGGTTCAATGCGAGATCGTCCCTCGAAATGATTTCTCTTTTTTGCTCGAAGGAACGTAATGTCTATCAATGGGAGGGCGAAAACTATCAAATAGATAATTTATTTTCCTGAAATCGTTAGTTTTTGCTTCTGCTTGTCGAGGTTGGTAGGTGGAAATATTTATTGTGGCTGACGTTTCGACGGACTCGTCGTTTTCAAAGGCCTGAAAGTGGTCCAAAGCTTCTTGACTGCACGCTACCCCACCAAGCGCCTCTTCCGCTCTAGCGTTCCTGACGTTATATCAGGAATGTACGAAAAATGACCGAAATCCAAAAGATGAGAGAACATGGAATTTAATTTATTTTCCGTTTCTATTTAAAATTCAGTGTGTACCCAGCTATACTTATCCGCAGCCACGCATTCAAGACCATCGGCCAATCGATCGATTAAACATCGTTCTGTACTCAATGATTTCAAGGGATGAAGAGAAATACTTACGGGAACCCATCTGAGATTTTGTTGCTCGAACTGTTGAAGTTGGGCCAGATCCTCCTCTGCAGCAGCAGCAACAGAATATGAGTAAGAAAAGGAGCAATGCCCCTCCACCTCCCATAACAGCAAGATGAAATGGGGTTCTGGAAAGGTTGTTCCTTGCAGCTTTAGACAAATGTTAGTACTAAAATGATCTCAGAAAAATACCGAAACTTACGGGAAGATATCAAATTCTGTTTCATCTCCGCTGAAAATAAATACTTTAGGCGTTGATTAGAGGAGCTGGATCTTCAGAGATACAATCAAGCTCGATTTTGATCCACGCATTGTAAAACTGGTAGAATAGCCTCGCGCTTATTTTGTTCGACCAGCCTGTGTCTGTTATGCTCAATCCCGTGGGCACGATAAGAGTATGGATAGCATTTCAAGCACCACTGTGCTGTCCCCATGGGGGTCATCCACTCATTGTTAGAGAGGATTCTCAGAAAGGTACACCCCGATGAAATACGTTGTCAAAAGACGCCACAATTCCGGAAAGAAACTCGAAAACATGGGGTATCTCATGGTGGGACAGGCTATCAATAAGATGAGTACTTTATCCTTAAGTTCTGATTGAATATAGTCAAGAATGTTTGGCTCCAAGCACCTTTGGGACCCCCAGATTTTGCTCTCTTTCCTTTAGCTTGTGCCTTGTTTCTATATTCTGCCTGGGAGCCCTCCCACTGTCATTTTCCAGAAGCGCTTCCAACGAAGCTCACTTTCCACAAAGGCGATTGCTGAGCAGGGAATATGTAAAAGACGTTATGAGAAGGGCTTAGGTACGGAAGAACAAGCGGGGCATTCCCATCTATCACTCGCATAGTGAAGAAGGGATGAATAAGTTACTGTAGGACAACTAGAAAGGGTGGTCGTGAGAAATGATCCAAGCAGTGGTCCAATGACGGTTGAGAGGCTCCAGCATCGGGAGACAAATAGGTAGCTGGGTAACTTGTGAGCGAAATAGAGCCCTAACAAAGACCTCCTACCCTACGAAGAAAAGACGCAAAAAGATTTGACGACTTTGATCAGAACTGTGAGATAACACGAGGATATCATAGGTGATGAAAGCTCATTGAAAAGAGTGAGGGTGGGAACAACCACTGGTCAAGCATGTGTTGCTAGCAGCATTGTCTATCAAGATTATCAGGTGGATAAGATCTCTTGATGCTTCAGTGTCCAACCCTTAGCCTGCCTAGTCTGGTTGGTGATAGGTTGGACTTATTGTTAGTAGTATGGGCTACTCATTGATCTTTCTTTTGAATAGTTCGTCCCTTGGTTCCCCATCAAAGTCACTTGCGGTTGTTCCCAGACGAAAGAGGGACACTTTCGCTTTTGTCCCATTTTCAGTCAAATTGTTTTTGAGAGAAAAAAAAACTCTCAAAAACTGACGCCACAGGTGCGAGTGTCGTTGATTTTCGCGGTTTCTTCTCCTCTTCCTCAGTAGTAGTAGTATCAGCTTCAGTTGATGAAGTTGTAGTGGTTTCTTTCGTTTCCATCGTAGTCGTCTCGACCGTAGTGGTCGTAGTCGTTGTTGTGAGCAATGGAGAGGAGGTTGTTGTTATTTCTTCGATTTCTGTAGAGAGGGTTGGTGTAGACACCTCGTCTGGACCAGGTGGCCTAGAAGATTCAACCGGCCCAGGTGACTCAGATGGCTCGAATGGCCCAGGCGATTCGGGTGGCTCAGGCGACTGATCCGGCCCACTTGGTTCAGGCGGCACGGGTGGTACAGGTGGCTCAGGCGGCGAAACCGGCCCACTTGGTTCATTCGGTCCTGGTGGCTCAGGAGATGCAGCTTGCCTACCAAGACGCCAAAACGGCCTATGGTGCCAAAGTGAAACGGGCTGTCCAAGTGATTCGGGCATCTCATGATCGGCACGAACTTCACGGAGGTGTTGTGGTGGGACGGCGAAGCGTTTCTGAGTATGGGGTCTTTTCATAACATATCTTCTGATGAATGGTTTTTCAGTGAGGCCATGAGAATCCGATTTCTGTTCCGGCTCTTCACTCTTCAACAACTCGACCCATCCATCTGTCTGCAATCGAATTCTTCTGGAACAGCCATGGTTATCGATCGGATCAAGCTACAGGTGGGGTTCTTGTTTGTGATTAGGGATTTGTAAGAGTTAAAAGGAGGGGCATACCTCAACTTCGTAAGAGAGTATAACCAGGCATAGCATGAGAGTATAGATATACACCATCAATGATATAAGGAAGAACGTCAATGAGTCATACCCGAATCAGCGGATGAGTAATGAAAAAACATCACAGTTGTATCACAACTGATAGGTAAGGTAGTGGTAAACAAGTATCCTTGGATACAGTCTCATTGTTAGTCCTCGCAATCAGAGTAACAACTGCTTTTGTGCTTCTATAGCATGCGATTAATACTCATTTACTGGATGGTGTCGATGTCAAGCGATCCGGAAAGGATGGTCCCCTTGGAAACCCTAGGAAACCCATGTTCCCTGTGATTGTATAGTTACCGATTTTGGGACAGCATTGAAGTGATCCGCAGTTATCTAGGCTACGTAGAAGGTTCCGGTATGATCAGAGCTAAGCTTGTGTCGCAAAGTGGCGGTGGAGTTTACCGAGGTTGCCAGTTCGGCTAGGGGTTGAGTTTGAATGAAAAAGAACGCGAAAAAGTTTGAACTTTATTGATATTTACAAAAAATGGGACGGTTAGAGCAAGGCAAATCATCAAATTAAATTATCGTAAGTAAAATTGAACATGTCATAAACGGCTATTAGTTACTGATTCGTAATTGATAGAAACTTTCTGAAATTCTGTTGTAGATAGACGTTTGTAGGTGATACGGCAATAAAGTAACTATCGTCGATAATAGGCTAATTCTGCAGAAGGCCTTCGTTCGATTTTGAGAATTCTCTGTGATGATGCTCCTCCAGGGGTTTCTTCACCCTGAAATCGTTAGAAATCGTACGTACTAACGGGAACTCTTACTACTTTAAGCCTTCCTTCACCGGTAACAATTATATACCAAACATATCTCGATTTCGGTGAATTTGTTTTGTTATTTTCAATTTTTTCGCATATTTTTCAATTTTGCTGTTTTTGAAATTCATTGAAATTTTAACATTACAATATGTGTTTGAGAGAAAGAAGACCTAAAAGTTTCTCTGATCAAGAATTCGTAATGACCTCAATCTTTTGAACGCCGGTATCGAATTTTACTACCGTGATTTCCTTTTCTTGCCCATGGTCAGGCCATTCCTGAAAAAAGTATGATACGGAAGAATTCGTAGAGTGATGCCAATGAAAACTAAAAGGCGAGAAATAAAAAAATTAGGAAATATGGGGTGTGCTTAATTGCATATGGGTTCCCTGAGCTCGGAACAGTTTTATCAGGGCGTTTAACTCGAAGACACAGTTCACAATGGAAATGGTTTCCGAAATATTCTTTTAGGAAGAACTCGGGGGTCACGTCGTTGGTGTGGCACAATCGGCTTCTTCCACAAGTCTGAGCTAAATTAGTCCGGATTGGCCACAGTGGTTCTCCAGGGTAACTAGATTGCTGCCGAAGCAGCGACAGCGAAGGAACCTCTCACTCGATCTAATGGCAAAGCGCCAGGATGTATCTGGCAGGGGCAACTTATAAAGAACGCTGAGGTGCTCTCTTAGGGGCAATTCTGATGGCACATCTTGCGCCATTAAATTACAATTCTTTTCAACCCTCGTGTTCTTGGTCGTAAACAAAATGGTTGTAAACAAAAACGAATATGAAAAAAAAACTGACATTAGACATACGTCTTCTTTTCATTGCCGCTTTCATTTGAGCTAAACAAAAAGGGTGTTTGTCTTCGATGCTGAACGGAAGTTTGACAAACTTTTGGATTGGTTGATTTTGATTTTCAATTTTATTTTTTTCTTTTTTTGCACCTCACTAGACCTTTCGCAGATGAAAATTCCGATAGATCATCTGCATAATCATCTCCTGTCGGCTTCGCCTAGTTTAGGGAAACCAACTCTGTGTGCTAAAGAAGTCGTTCTATCGTTTTTGTGGGAAGAAAAATTTAGATCTATTTTATTTATTTATTTAGTAGGCGTGGCTACCACAGTGGACGTGGCTGTCTGGGGGTGAGTCCAACAGTAGAAGGGGCAGCAGTGTGGAAATAATCCATGGTTGACANAGAAGTCGTTCTATCGTTTTTGTGGGAAGAAAAATTTAGATCTATTTTTTTTATTTATTTAGTAGGCGTGACTACCAGAGTGGGCGTGGTTGTCTGGGGTGAGTCTAACAGTAGAAGGGGCAGCAGTGTGGAAATACTCTATGGTTGACAATTTTCGATAGGCTCTCTCTGGAAGGTGATGTAACTACAGGAGAATTATCAGGGGAGAAAAGGCGGAGCTATCTGCCACATAGTATTTTTATGGGCCCCTTTGGGACCTATGAACCCTATGAACACTGTGATAAAATTTTTCGAACAAAATCTTCAATAGCCTAGCCATTCTCTCGCTCATTCCTGAAAAGGCTGATAAACCTACCTTTCTTGTGTGCAACCCTCTTTCGAGTACGTAGGTGGAATAAATAGGTAAAGATCAGGGCCAATAAAATTATAGCAAGCAGGAAAAAGAATGTGATTCTGAATGATTATTAAATAAAACACATTGATTAAATATTTTCATAACTGGTCAAAAAAATTGGCAATTGTAAATTTACCTTCGAACCGAATCAGATTCTGAGTGTGTTGAATCAGAGTCATTTGAATCAGATTGTCCGCTTGGCTTTGAAGTTCCTTAATATTCACATGCCATTCAAAATCAGATACAGTGCTTGAAAGGATGGAAATTTGCCCAGGTGCTATAGAGGCAGTCTTGAAGTCTCAG